CGAGTGGAGGGTTGAGGATTGATCCTAACTCTTTGTCTCCTACCAACAAGAAAGTTTCTTATCCATGCGAGCAGACTGCCAGTGATTCCAAAACTTTCCAGTTTCCCGAGCAACCTGGAATGAAGTACCTTGTCGAACGCCTTACTAAAGTCTATGAAAATGATATCTACAAGTATCCTATCATCTTTAGACTTAACCCAACTTTCTCTGGCTGTAAGAATCTTAGTTCTTCTTTTCATCTGGCTAGACAGTGTGAAATAAGAATAATCAAAAAGAGTATTCTTCATTATTATTGTTGATTGATAGCATGACTTCATTTTGTCCTATATATGGCAGTTCTTAAAATGTTACATTGTCTCTATGCTAAAAGAACTAAAAACATAACGAAGCAATAAGGAAATTGAAACTATGTTTCATCAACTACAAAAACGTCGAGACTTTTTTCAAACTAGGTGAACACTGACACTATAATACTGTAAACACAAATCAACTCCAGAAACTATATTGTCATAAATTGAGAGATTAAAACACTGTAAGTACCCAAAAAGGCACAATTTCTGACCAAACTGAAGTTGAACATCAACTCAAGTGTAACTTCAAAAGATTATCAAGTCTACGAGCACAAAAATGCATCTCATACATTTTCAGAAGAAAGTGAAAATTATAGATGTAATATGTATGAGAAGAAATGAAATATTGTAATGAAGGGATTCATTCCTTGTTCATAACAAATATTAAATTATAAGCAATAATACATATCTAGGTGTCATTACTTAATTCAATAAAAGAGAAGCGCAAATTTTCCTACATTTGTCCTTTTATACTTCGTTATGGAATTGTAGACCCGAGGATAGATTCGGAATTCGAATTTTGATTTCTTCAATTAAATTTCATTGGTCCTGTTTTGTTAGCATTAACTAGTAATTCTGAACTGATCCTGGCCTCTGAAACGCCCATCTGACTGTGTATATCATTTGCTTGATTTAATTATTTCACGAATTATCTCACTGTTGAACTATTTTCTTCTGATTATTCAAGTGAAGAACAACAAAGCTTTAAAATTTAAGAAGAATATCACTCAAATACAATATTTTCTATCAAAGAATAAACCTTGAGAAACTAAAAACGTGAAACTAAATATTTTTTGTACAAAAATCCACCACTTGATTGTATCTATTCTACTGAGTGATTAAAAATACGATAAGGAAAATAAGAATGAAGTACTCCGTATTCTCTTGACATCTTGCAGCAAGACAATTAGCTCGTTGTGTTATATGCTGATGACCAATGCAAGCCTAATATGTAAGATGAAATCAGTTCAACTTATTTACTTATCAGTCCTAATCTTATAGGTTTGAAGATTAGCAATTATTATTGAAACCGAGGTATGAAAGTATCTTGAATACCTTAAAGCACTATGTCGTCCCATTACACGACTCCTGAGTGATGGGCACCTATGACCCTGCTATAACAGGGCCGTCAGGTGTCTAAGCGAGTATGTTAGACTCAGCTACTGGGTAGAAATTCAACGGTCCACATTGTCTTACTTCTGTCACCCACCGTAGTATAGCGTAACCACTATTCAATGTCATTGATTGTGGTCATAATTTTTAAGTACTGCAGTTTCTATATATACAATTGTATAAGATATTTATGAGTTGGATCAGTGTTAAACTGTTTATAAAACCTTATGAATGACGAAGATGGAAACTCAGCTGTGAAATCAGCAACTTCAATGACTTTTTGTAGGGAGATGTCTTCCCCTTCCCACCTATTGTATTACTATGCAGAACAGAAATTGAAATAAAAATATGCAGCACTCCTACTGTTTGCTACGATGTAGATCTTAATAAGATATATTAAGCGAATTTTTGTCATTTTCAGCAATCATGTTCAACTGAATATCGCACTCCGTTTATCAAGCTTCCGGAGAAACACTAATCGCTTTTGGTCTTCGAAGGAAAAAGGAGTAACCGGTGTAAACCTGTCAGTCCAACTGGTCAATGTAAACTATTGAAATGAGTATTTGTTTCAATAGACCGTTATAATAAAGCACTTAGTAGAGGCCTTTTCGACCGGTTTCGTCTGCCGTTGTCAGATGGATACATGTAACTACTCAGCAACATAACTGCACCTAGGAAAAATATAACACATTTTGCTGCTTGTATTATTCCGTCATTGATTGGACCAAGTTGATTGGTCTCTGTTAGCATATAGGCTTCTGCGCGGAGGCCTTGATATTGCCTGCGGTTTCATTGTTGTGGTAATGATAGATGATGACTGGCAGTTGGATCCAATTGACGGGCCTCAAATAGGACGAAACGCACGTCTTGGATTCCACTGCTAGCCACTATCAATCATTACCACAAAATACCACACAGCTGGTAAAGATAATCTTTGAAAGAGAGTTTGTTAATATGGAAGGATAATACAAGAATCCTGAGTGAGTGTTTTTAAAAACAGTTTCTTTTATGTTATTCTGATAGTATATCAATTTTGATAATCAAAAATTGGCTCACAGTGTAAACATTTCCTCAGTAATGTTACACTTGCTACCTCCCATTGTGCATTAAGAATACTGGTTTCGATTGCTTTTAACTTAATACAATTCCTACATTATGCAGACACTGCTAGAATACTGGGGTAAGTAGGACATTCCTGGGATAGCTGCCTAGTTTGCTAACACGTTTATGAATTGTGTCTTGAAAAGCTTTATTAAAAGTCATCATTTTTTTAATAAATTTGATTTCAGTTTACTTTTATTCACTGATAGTAAGAAAATCCTTTTATTCTGTTATGAAGATATTCAAAATTCGAATAAATATGTAACTCTGAAAGGTAGCGATAAGGACGGTTTACTCTGATATTTAACAAGAAGTCCTAAGTACATAGCAAGGAATTCCCTCTCAAATGAGTACCATCTGTGACATTGACTACACTGACAGTTGATACTGAAAAACCTACGTAGAAAGAAGGCGACTGAGACAGTGATTTTATTACTAAATAATGTTACTGTTTTACTACTCAGTATCCTAGAAAGGTTGATGGTTTCTCAGAAAATGTTATTGAAGTGCGTCTGCAGGTTCATTCCCAATGAAGATGCATGCAAATCTGTCAGTACTTGTAAGGCATTAGCTAAATAGACAAATTGAGAATGAAAATCATTTTTATTCTTCTTCTTTTTATAAAATATTGAACCTCTTGGGTATCAGTTGGCTAAATCTGGTATCTTGGGTTTATTTCTTTCGAGTAGTGACCAGACACCAGTTAACAGTCGACATCAACCTGGACTTTTTCTACCGATAATGGCCTAACTGACTATTCTACTACACTGGAATATGCTTAAACAGCCATTTGGATGGTATTTTATATTTATTACATTTTACATTTTTATTATCTTTAAAGGAGACGTCGATATTTACAGTAACATCTACAATATAGCTTTGTTCATGTATGACGGAATCATCGTGTGAGTAATATTAAGACTGGGTGCAGGGTACTAGGAAAAGAAGATAAGTCAGTTGATGAAGTTGTGGACTTTGAGCGACTGATGTGGCTTGGTCGTGTGTTGCGCTAGCTGAGCCACTACCCGCATCGACACAAAATGTTGGTCGAAGATTGATTGAGTTGGAAAAATGCTAAAGGTGATTAGATAAAGATGTGGCACCAATCGATGAAATCTCTGATTGTTAGTCTGACCTGTGTTCTGAGGTGTAGACTGCCTAATCGGGGTCGTCGAAGCGATAGAAATCAATAGTTGTGGTTTCTTGATGACATAACCGAAGATCTGTGAGGATCGCGCAGATGCAATAATGTTTTACTTCATCATTTTCGCGGTTGTTGATTTCTGTTCTTGCTCCAGTGCACTTTTGCCTACTTTGATGTCACTCTTTTTGTGTTCACTTATGGTTTACGTGTTATTGTGTGATGACTTAAACCAGTGTTCTTCGGTGGGGGGTTTGATGTTGGTTTTGCTACCGATCTGTTATTCGTCAGCATGCCTCACCTCGTTCCATATAATGTATTTAGTTTGACGAAGTTTATTACTTTACTCTCCCTTATATTCTGAATTGTAGTGGTTTTTTCGCATCTTCAAAATATTAACTGGTATCTTAAGAAGCTTTATATAAAGTTTTTTGATCATTTGTTATGGTGTCTACTTAGTCATTCGATCAGGTTGTATGCGGCTGATGAAAATTACACTAAACAATGACGTCTTCTAATTCTCCATGTAGTGCTCTCGTTGCATTACCAGAAAGTAATAAGTTGATTTGTATACCCTGCGTATTTTCTTCGATCAAAAAATGAAAGTTGTGTAGTAAATTTTCATGGTCATCGCTAGATGATTAAGAGATTTCGACTGCATCATTATTTATGACTTCATGTAATTTCTCGGTTAGTTTACACATGAAGCACAAATAGGCATAGTTGTTAAGAATTAGGTCATTAATGGCTTACAAGTCCGAACAACCCCATCGAAAGTGAATGAAGTACAAAGCCCAACTACAGTTGGTTTCATGCATGATAGTAGACGTAAGTTGCTAAAGTATGCGGTGACTTAGAACCTTTAAGTTGGATGGCCAGAAGAAGTGGAGAAAGCATGAATTGTGTGTCATTAATTCCAACTGTTTGGATTTGCGGAAGCAAGTAGTTCAAAAGAGACAGTTGTTAATGAAACTGTAGTCAAAATGAACGTATTACTGATCGACTCTGAGGGTGAGTAGAAGAATTGGCGAATGTGTCACCTTAAGAACCACATCAGCTAACTTTCACTGAGATGGATCTTGTGAAGAGATAGGTTACATGTTTTACCGATTGTGTATTTACTTTATTCATAGCGTCCTGCTGATTCAGAAACGCTTTCATAAATTGACACTGTGAAGGATGTGCAGGACTTTGTTGTTGGTGGTTGCGTACTGTATTCGATTGGCGTATTATCAGCGTTCTCCTACCAGACAGGCATTCGGTAACTGTTTTCTTCACTGTACTGTTTAGGTATAATGTGCAATAATTGGGGTACTAGAACTCAATGGAGAAACTCAGGTAAAAGATGTAGACAGGATAATTGATTTGGAAATCCTCTAAGCACTTTTTTAAATGCCATCACGTTTCTGATAAAGACTAAAATAACATTATTATAACCTAGTAGAAACACTAGCATGAAAGTATGCGTCTATCCAACTATGCTCACTTCCTGTTAATACTTAAAAATATGGATGTGTTTTGTGTTGATGTTGATATTGTCTAGCAAGATGATGGAAGCTTCACGATTAAACAACCCAGCTCAGAGAACACAATACAACCAGGACCATCCACCTGAGCTACAAATATTCTCCATTATTGTAAAATGAGTGTATTGCTAAATTGCACCAGGAACAGGAAGCGAATGTGTCGATTCACCATGCTAATCTTCAGAACTGGACAATATAGTGTCCAGTCACTATGATTTCAGTACTACTGTGAATATCTGACTAAGAGATAACGAGATTGAATGAGAAAAGCTCCTGTGTTTCTATGTTGTAATCAAGTAGATGGTATCACATTTAGGACTAGAAAATGATTTCGTGTTTATTGTGCATTAAAAATAAGTATTTGGTTGTATACTTTTTGTTTGCTTAAGATTTGGTCAAACAGGTCTACTAACCTCATATAGTATACTGTTAATATCATGAAATCTGGAATTAGTTTTCAAGTGTCATAATGATATACGCTTATTTGTTTCCCAGCCGCTATCAAAGTGAATAAATTCAACAACATTTCTTCCAAATAAATTATAGTTTTCTCTGTTTTCATTGGTGAGTACTTAGCATAAAACTACAAAGTTGGTCATTTTAGTGTGTAAAACGGATTTTCTGAATGGTTTTCGTTACGGACACCTTACTCACAAGTTTCCTACATTTAAAGTTGATAAGCGTAGAATGAAACAATGGGTGAATTTAATTATGCACGTTGAATTCTGATTTCCTCAACCTAACACTGTTAACTTATGCAGTTCTTATAATCCTCTTTTGCCAAGTTTCGATGCTACACGTAGGATTTGAAGAACTTTAAGTTCATGTCTTATAAATGAGTCTCAAGCAAAAGTTTCTCTAGAAGCATCCGTGGATAGACTGTTGTTTGCGAATGTGTCTAATTATTCTACCAGACTCAAAATGGTCCCTGCAACAAATTTGTAAACTCTGATTTTGGTACTTGAATGTATTAGTAGTGGGTCGTAATGTAGAATTATTATTATTATATTGTTATTATACAACTTGAGTACCAAGTGATGCACCATACAGAATAACAATGCAACATTACGGAGAAGAGAGAATAAAAACAAACACAGGTAGGTTACCAACGAAGTAGTACCGAGAAGCATTCACTACCGTCATCTTACTTTTCAGTAACTGAAGAATTATTAGGACTGAAACATGATCACCACCGGTCTGGATTTTGAGCCATTTCTGCTGCCATCTCAAATCACTAAATTATATAATCTCTCGAACCCTATCCAGGGACTCATGAGGCAACTGCAGATGCTAACCTAACAGAATTACCCCTCATTCCATGGCACCACGTCATACACTGGCTACTTCTTTCACCCAGTCCTTGGCAAACAAACAGTGAGCTGTATGGATTCCGTTCGGATGAGGTGCGTAATATATGCCCAAGACGCCGATACCGCTCTTTCAAGAAAACCGCACTCAATGAATGATGATCCTCTTCACACCCAAACATACATCGCCTCACTTCAGAATTGATTACATGATATTTCCACCGGATGCGAGCAATATTCTGGAAACAACGCTGGTCGAAAACGCAGGGTTGCCGAACATTGGTTAAAGTTGCCACACTCCGCAGTAGTATACACGGAGCAGCTGGATAGAAAAGACTCATATCAAATTAGGGAAAATTGTGTGCGCCGTTGTGACCGATTTTCAGCTATGCCACGAGTAGTCCTCAACCACTAATTCCTATCATCTCAGAGACCCACCCTAGCGGGTATTCTACTTCTCTCAACACAGCTCAGACTGACAGTCAGGATCTTCATGAACTCGTGACACATCTTAGTCGGCGTACCCTGAACCGGCTTCCAACCTAATCCAACTTCCCCCAGCATGGCACATCGGGTTGCGTGGTAACTCGGCATGCGCAGTACGTGTCTAAGCCATCTCAGTCGATTCAAGTTCAAACGTCATCAGTCAACTTGCCTATCTTGTCTAGTATCCTTCACCTGACCTCGACATACCTTACACGGTGATTCCAGCAAACGCGTGCAGTGTTGCGAAGACATCTGTTATCAAAATCCTGTAACCGCTTCATGTCTTCTTTTAACGGTCATATGACAGCCGTACGACAGGAGAGAACGGACTGCAGCGTAAAATACTCGTCCTTTGATAAGTAGTCGGATATCTCGAAGGCACCAAAGGTAACACATTTGGCGAATGCCAAATGGGCCTTGTGTATCCGAGCTGAGATTTCGTCCACAATCAACCCATTCAGATTGACGCGACTGCCCATGTAAGTGTGAAGTGGTAGACGCATCCAACGGCTCCACTCCACTCCACTACCCATACTTCAACGAGGCGTATCCACAGACCAGTCTTGAGACAATCATCTTACAATTATTGACTGGTGTGAAACGCATGCCGATCATACTCAAATTTCTACTCGAGGCATTCATTAGACCTTACATTTTGTCAGCGTCTTCACCCAACACAACACTATTGTCTGTGTACTGTAAGTCAATCAGATGTCTACCCTCCCGGGAGTAGGTGAATCCCTGTGAAGTCAGACGTACGTAAATTTATGTCCATTAGTGCATGTACCCCGAAATTGAAAAGCAACAGTGACAGTTGGCATTCCTGATGGACAACAGTAGTTGTCGTCAGTTCTGATGACAACTGAATATAAGCCTTAACACGGCTGTATGGGTTTGGATTGAGAGCTTTGATTGGTGTTATGTACTTGCTTGGTAATCTTCACAGTCAACACTGCCACCACACCTCATGGTCGATGGAGTTCTATGCCTTCAGGGGAAGAAATATGGTAATTGTTAACTGTTGGCCGATAATTATGCGTGTCCCATAGCCTGTAGGTAAGGGTGATGATTTGATTGTCGCATGGTTATCCAAGTATGAAACGTGCATAGTTTCCTCGAGTTTGTTGTTGTCGAGCTCCACTTAGGTGTCGGGTAACTGCATATCCCAGTATGTCGAACATAATATTAGTAGGACTAAATCCCTTGTGATTACCACAAAAAGATTTCTCGCCCTTCTTATAGACTGGATGATCAGTGAAGTAGACCATTCTGGTGACACCAACTCTGATTACCATACACTACCTTGTGTCTCTGTCACTTGAAGCAACGACCGCCTGCCTCCACACCTGAAAACGGATAGCAGTGTCAGGCCCTGCTGCTTTACATCGTTTTGGGTTAGTAACATTCTCGAGGGGAGGGAAGCTTCGGTGAACGACATCGTCACCTATTCATGTTACGACTAGATGTTGGGCAACTGAAGCGTTGCATTGAAAAGTTATATGGTGATTTACAGTGTTCTTCCGAACCTTGTATCCACATATTTGGGAGTTTATCAGCGTTCCCTCTTTTTCGAGGACGGTTTCACCAAACATCGTCTTCTTTTCTGTATCCTTAATGGGCCTAAATAGTGCTGGGTGTTACCCAATGTGATGTCTTCCCCATCTCTCGCTCTCGTCACCCACCACCACTAGCAATCTTTACAATGACTCTTTGTCAATTTGCGTCTAAGTTGCTTTCGCTCTTCACTGTGATCAGAGCCAGCTGGATCAGTCTTCTCGCATCAGTCTGTTCAGATGACGTTGGGGAAATCCTTTGACGTTCCCACCGATGGCTTGTCGTAGTATGATCTATCTGTGTTCATCAGTGGTTCGATGTTGGTAGATGGTCTCTCTTTATGCTTGAAATCAGTGTTGGTCAGAAACAAGTAGTTGTCAGAAAAAATCGCAACAGGCGATCACCATTGTTGGTTTGTTGGCATAGGATTCTGTAGACACCTTCGAGAGATGCCTTTCCGATTGGCTCAGGTTTCCGGTTTGAATCACCTGCTATTATGACTATATGTGAATGTTTTACTTTGTATAGCAATGTTGACAGCATCTCATAGAATTCATCCTTTGCATCATCCAAACTGTAGTCAGTGAGCGCGTATACAGAGATTACGTATAGACACCATCCAGTTTCTCTTATTTCGTGGTTTTTACAGATCCATTCAATCGAACAACACTCAGCTGGCTATTGACCGGGAACACAGTTGAGAAGTGCACTTTTCGCTCTACAACGCAATGCTCTGTCTACACTTGGGGGGCCACGGCAATTAGCCATTGGGTTTCCAGATTATCGTACAGTGGATTTTGAAGATTCATTGCAATTACCAGGTCAGGTCAAGTGATGAATAACCACGCCTGGGTCCTCTATATATGTCTCAGAAACACAGCATTCATCCATGGCTGCAGATTCCAGAGTGTTGATGGGCGATACCTGCTATCCGACTTGACGCAGAGGATGTGGAAGCCTCAAATATGAAATCGACAGTGGGGCCTTCGGATACTAGGAACGAAGTTTCGATGACTTCGATCATTGTCTGTGGTCGCAGAGTGAGAAGTTGGATAAGGCGTAAGAGGCCCAATATTAGTATCAAGAGATGAAAGCAAATGGAGAAACAGTTTGGTTGGGTCTTGTGTACTACTGGAAGTGTGCAGACGTTTGAAAGTTCACGACTGCCTACATCGTGGAAGGCTATTTTGCCTAAGGTACCTGAGAGAATAAAATATTTGTCTGATCACAGAACCCATGAGACGTCTGCCTGAGACCTGTTACACACAGCCTTTTACGAGTATTTATTTTGAGGTTTGATTGTTCTGACGCTGGATAGAGAAAACCCAAGCCACTGGCGCTGGGAAACTGTGTGGCAGGGAGGAATATGCTTTCCTGGGGACCAACCCTCATTAACCCCTCCCCGGGTGGACATATGATCTATGCGTATGTGACTCAAACGAAACCCGACTTGATCATTGTGAAGGAGACTCTTACATGTTTCTCATAACCTGCGAAGGGTGAGGGCAGCCAACACTGAAGTCTCTACCGGCCGTAGATTGATATCCGATGATTATCAGAAACATCACGTAGACCCTTTTAAATTCGGTTACGACAGTGGATTCACTTCTGAGTGATGGAATACTCACAGTTTGTCATACCTTTACGAACAATGTATTTAATTCTCTGGATATTGTCGTGTCCACTTTCAATAAAAGCAAGGGTTTGGTTGTTTGGACCGGTTGCCTAATGGCACTTTAAAGCGAGGAGTACATTGTGACTCGGGTTCATTAGGCAGCTCAGTGTTGTTGAAGTGGTAGACCAGATGGATTACATTTCAAAGTGCTCCACCCAGCGTTCCAGGTGTCGAGAAATACTAGGTTTGGCGTTTAATCTGCTGCACAGACAATCTCATTAGCACTGGGCTTCTTGGTACAGGTGGATCAGAAAAAGCTCTCAACTATTGGTACTGCTTCCATCTTACTCGTGCATTCTGACCACCAGGTCTTACGGTCTTCAAGCAAACGCTGTTTGATCTGTCACTACTCCCTGCCTGCTAGAACCTACAAACAAGCATCAAAAGTTGCGGGTAGCTTGCAGAGGTTCATTGTTTACCAGCTAGCTGCATACAGCTCTACTTGCCGTTTTTAGAGTATTCGATAACTAGGCTTGAGTTTCACTTGCTCATAAGATGAACTTAGCACACTGTACAGCGTAATCAGAGCCCTGATAGTTGCTTCAGAATGAGCGACAGTCTTGAATACTTCTGAACCGTCATTAGCTGATTACGATACGACTTATTTACATAATGCAGAACAATGCACTTTTCTTCTTAAATTGTTTATAACTTACTGGCCAACCGCATCCTATTCGAATAATATAGATTAAAGTCATGATTATCTCTATATTTTTGTCCCTGTCATGTAAATCTGCGTACTTTGGAATTTCTTTATTGAAAGTTGCATTTGTTTTGTAGAATAATGTACTACAATGATAGTTATCTGGACTTCTAGATACTCCTGGGATATAGGTTTGGTAGTCTCACTGGATCAATTCACTTAACTTGACCCTTTTATTTTGTTTTTTTTCTTCAGAATCTGGCCCCTTTGAGTGGACATCTTATCTTAAAGCAATTGAAGCGGATCCTGTTCAGTCTTCCCTCTTTTTCCATGTTCCCTTTGAAGTCCAGGTAAGTAATGTTATTGATATATATATATATATATATATATATATATATATATATATATATATATATATATATATATATATATAATTTGTGAGTTCTGTAAGCTTTTTGTGAAGCATAGTTCATAGCATAATAAATATTGGTTCTAGACAGTAGTTCCAATCTACAATCCTGCTAATCCTTATTCTATGCTACTGTCGACCTTCAGCAGTCGCCTATACTACTTTTTTGGAATAGACAAGACTTCGGACGGTAAATGATCATATCTAGTGATTTCATTAGAAAATGGCATCAGCTAAAGAACGATCGGAAACTTAGGAGCACTGAACAGCTGTTTCTTTCTAGTATGGGACTGCTCAAAAGTGCATCCCTTAAAATCATTCAATCTCTACAAATCATAAATTGAATTACATATCTAGTGAATCAAACTCCTGAGACTAACCTGTAAACGAAATTGAAACACACTTAACCACCTTGTGCACATGCGTGCAGTAGGCAAAGAACCACAGCTGTTGTGTGAGGACTAGTGGTACTACCTGCCTTCCCAAACCTCGGTAGATGGAGCGGTGTTCGGGCCAGAGATCAACCTCTACAATCTGGTTATTCATCTGCAACAGTTGTTCTAGGAGACGGTCATTCCAATATATCATTTTTATCGTTCATCATAAATATCCTAATCGATTCCTACTTTGAATTGTCACCTTAATAAGTTGAATTCAGTCTACTCACAGTCTAGTCTATGTTACTGATTACTTCCATAACAATGGTACAATTAAATAGGGACTATTTCTTTGTATTTCCTGACCGACTAAGCTGTTGGCCATCTAATATACTGGGGAACAAAAGCTCTCAACTGTATAAGATGAACTCCTAGTGACCGTGATAAAGTGTAACGAAGACAACTTGCTGGCACTATTTGTGATGTATCCATAAACCGTATTTTATGTTTCATAGAATTCTTTCCCTTCACAATTTAAATCGACCAAGAACAACAGTCTTAGCAGGATAGTACGGATCTGTTTTATCTCGCGATTTCTCATCACCTGCTTACAACCTAAAACAATTTTCACATAACTTTACATAAGTGTTTGCATACTTGGATCAATTTGACGATAGAAAATTATCGGCTTGAATTAAAGATAACATTGATATGACGCAATTGAAAATACACCAATTGAACGAATATATATGCAGAACTAATAGTAAGTTTACCAATATATAGAAGGATTAGATGAATAATTTAAGTGGAAGTTGGATAAGAGTGGAAGATTTTATGCAGCAACGATACATACATTGTTTGCTCCATATGGTAACGGTTTCATTAACGTACCTCTGTTCTCAGATCTTCGTTGCTGGTTGGTTACACATTAATAGCGATAATCAAACGACTTTAATCCAATACATTTGTACTGTGTTGAATATGATAGACGATCAAAGCCTTAACCTGCGTATCTCTTCTATCTTGCCTGCTAAACGAACACAATTTTCTTTTACCAGTTTTGATAATTTTCCTAATGTTTAACCATTAGACGTTTTCCTGCTGTGTGTATGATTTATCTTAAATTTTTCGAACCAGTTCATTCTAAGCATACTGTTTTCGTCTCAATGCTTTATAGCTGTCGAATATGCTACTCAGTTGAGGTGAAGTTCAAATAATTAACTCTTTATATGTTGAATTTTTAGTCTCATTTGTTTAGTATATCAAGAAGGAGAGCAATATATCTTTGTACATTTTATGTATACATGTCGCATTCTTATTCATTCAGATTCCGTCACCCTCCGTTCTTCCTGGACAGAATGTTGTCCCTGATGGCACTTTCAAGCCTGATCAGTATCTAGAGGGTATTGATCCTCATAATGAAAGCCTGATTTGTGTTTTGTGTATTTCGGAATTGGTGGGACGACGTGTCAAGCTTCATTTTGCTGGTTACCCGGAGAAGTATGATTTCTGGACAACAGTGGACTCTCCTTTCTTGTTTCCTGTTGGTTGGTGTGCTCATAATAATCGTCAACTCCAACCGCCTAAAGAATATCTTGAAGAACCATACAATCAATTTACTTGGGCCAGCTTTCTGTCTAAACAAGGAGCTAAGCCAGTTCCACGCCACCTATTTAAAGTGTCGTGGGATTCTGTAAGTACTGTTGTGGTGAGAAAAGGTTCATATTCTCCTATAAGCAAGTCTTTTTATATTCTATAGAGATGACTCCATTCCCTACAGTAATCCTTTCATACTCTTAATTAAAAAGTGTTTTCTCACTTAGCATTTCAGATTGTTTCTAAAACCATTCACAAGTATGTAGTATAACAACAACAGGACTAAATTTTAATTTCTTGGTTTTAGTCAAGATACGTGTGCATTTAAATGCAGTGTATTTCAGACGTGAACCTAGTTCGAGTCATACCATGACTCCAGGTCTTCATTTCACTGTTAGTTATCACGCATCATCATTAACATTAATTTGTCAAACCACGACTGTCTGTTCCATCAGTAATCAGTATGACACTCACTCTGTAATTCAGCTTGATTCGGATTGAAAGCAGAAATCCTGACTGTGTCATCACGATGAACAGGTAGTTACGTATCATAGATTCATAGGGGTAGCCTGGCAAGACCCTCGGTGATTGAAGTTTAAGACCTACTTATCAAGTGTGTTTCGTAGATCAGTTGGCGGAGCACCAGCCCAGTAGTCTGGAGGCCTCGGATTCATATCCTGTCACGACCCAAATTTACATTTTGCCTTCAGTCATCTAATTTCACTGACACCAGTCTGTCTAACCACAACTATCCATTAACAACAAATGTAAAGGCCTGCGGAAAAGTACATCAGTTCAACTTGCTACCATATTCATGCAAATGCCCAACTATGTAATCACTTGCTGTTGTCTTCTTTTAGCCGAGCATAGAGAGGTTCTGTTGTTGTTTGTCCCCTACCCCCACTAACGTACAGATGCATACTTCCTCAGGCCGAGTTTGTGCACTATGGTCACTTTCTTTGGTTTGTTCACATTCGGTTCAGTTAGTACCCCTAGGTTGCCTTTACAATAAGATCGGTTTCCCTACCAGAGCTTTGAAGTGACCTGTTAGTATGAACATTTCAAAACACTTCTCCATGTAACATGACTGACAACTTCCAGTGAGACTCGTCATTTAAAGCAGATAAGTTTTAGGTGACACGGAACTGAAGGGTTTGTCTTATGCAGTTATTTTGAAAGGTTTTGATTGCCTAATACAGTTAAATTAACATGGTTAGCTGACAAGTTTTCGTATTTCTGTACTAAAATTGTAATTTATAATTTTTAGCTGGATATCAAGTTATGATAAAAGTGGCTAGTTACTCTAACCAGCATCATAATAGTAATAGGGAAGTATGCAGTGTCGTCTAATATTTTTGAAACAATGCGACAGTTCATGTTAAAACTGTCAAGTTGACTACTTTAATGTTTTATTGATGAAACGTAATTATGACAGTATTATTTGCGATAAGGGATGCCCTCCGTGTAGGAAATTTGCCATGCAATATTTTGGGAATAACTCGGAAATGTGTTATTATAGCCACTATATATTATCCAGGGCATCTGTTGGTTTTGTGTCAAAGAATACTGTTTGAGTAATGCAAGAACAAAGACATTTTCAGGACAAAGTGGGCTCATTTTATTTCATTGCCTTTCATCAGCTGCAAACACTTTGCATTTGAAATAAAATATTATTAATAATAATGACATAACATATTATAAATATGTAGAAATAAACGGAGATTCAAAATCCAAGATTTACAATGAGTGAATCAAAGAGAAACAATAATAATAATAATCACAAATCTTAGCCAAAATTAGTGACAATTTCTACTTATCGGATGAGGTAGATAGTTCTGGGGCTGTGGAAAGAAGGGAGCAATAAACAGACAGGAGCGTAAAAGAAGAGGTTGTTAAAAAGTTAGTAGGTTACGCAATTACGTGAAAGAACTGAAAAATCATTGGGTGAATAACAGTCAGTAAGTAATTAATGAAGGGATGATGCAATCAAAAAAGGAAGACTTTATACATACGTATCCAAAAATTATATAGAGTTACCAGGATAAAGAAAGTTTAAATTCAGTCGGTTTCTGAGTATACAGGTCAGGTTGAATATGTTTGATGAAGAGCGCTTCCGCGAACCGTAATGAACATGGCATCCTTTGTTTGTTGGTAATCCTGAAGGATTGAGAAACATATGTTTGATGTCCTGTCTCCTTCAAGTGCCTGGCAATTGCACTGATAAAGACCTTGATACCTTTCAGACGCAGATTTCTCGAAATGTGCTCATAAAATCGAGTAGACGCCCTTCTTTCGGTCCCTCCTATGTACCTGCTTCTATAAGCACAAGTGAATTGATATGCATAGTTGGAAGTGACATGAGCTCGGTATTTTTATCTACTTTCGACTGTGTTATTGAGCATACTGTATTGTAAACTGGTGGCAGAAAAGCTTCTCAGTGCGGCTTTTATTTTTCTGTTTTCTATCTCATGAGATGTAAATTGCCAGTGATTTTAGCTAAGATTTGTAATTATTAGTCCTTATTATTGTTAATCTTGGTTTTCGAATCTTCGTTTATTTCTACATGTTTACAGTATGTTGTGTCATCATCACTACTAATATTTCATTTCAATTACAGGGTTTTGCAGCTGATGAAAAGCCGTAAAATAAAAAAGGCTCATTTTATCCTGAAAATGTCTTTGTTGTTGCATCATTCAAATCTGTCAGGGGAATTGAAAGAATAATGTACAGCATAGGGCAGTATCGAGGCGTCTACATAGGAGGCCATTCACCTCCAGAGGTCAAGCAGTTCGACACAGTATAGATAGCAACTGGAAATCACAAGTATGAATAGAAAAACAACTTATCGCTTAAGTGGTAGCTCGTATGCCCCTGTGGCTTAAGCACTAATGCTTTGACGTTTGAAGCGATGCATATTGGGTTCGAGTCTCAATGAGGTTAACTTCGCTCACCGGGAGGCAGGTACACTCAGCTAACGAGTCTCAAATAGGACGAAATGTGCATCCTAGATTCCACTGCCAGCCACTATCCGTCATTAATATAATTAAGCGAGATATGTTTACATAGTAAGCAAGTTATACGAAAAAACCACTTTAATTTCAGGTTGGTGTTCATCATTGATTTACATCAGTTGGAGAAAAGCTGAAAACCTGGGAGCAGTGAACGGCTGTTTCGTCTTAGTGTGGGACTCTTCAGCAGTTGGTACCCATGACCCCGCCAATGATCAAACCCAGAGCATTCAGGTCCAACAACGGCATTGGATGGAGGTCGCTTTGTGTCGTGAACTGATAGAGGTGGGAAATATGGACCACTGAATTCCGATCCAGTGGCTCAATAGTAACGTGCTGGCTGTGGAACCTGAAGGTCCTGGGACCGATCCTTGGTAGGGTCGTGGGCGCGTACCGCTGAAGAGTCCCATACTAGGACAAAACAGTTGTCCAGGTTTCCAATATTTCTCTAACTGATGTCAGTCCATGATGTATACCAACCTGAAATCAATAAAACCCCAAAACCTTCCAAATTGAAACCATTTCAAGTTTATAAAATATGATGATAAAAGTTCTCTAGCCAAAAAAAATTACTGAGTTTTATATTTTTACTTCTCAACTTTTATTCTTTTCTCTCATGAACGCTATTTACCAATTCAAGATGGCCTGTTCTCATGTTTTTAGCCTGTTGATGCATCACCGCCGCATATGTTTGCTGTTGGACTCAAACTTGAGGCTATAGATAAACGGAATCCAGCTCTTGCTTGTGTTGCTACTATCAAAGATTGTATTGGCGATTATGTACTAATTCATTTTGACGGTTGGGACTCAGGTTTCGACCAATGGGCTCATATATCCTCTGAACTTCTACGCCCTGTTGGATATTGTGAAGATCACGAACAGGTTCTATCAATACCCAGTGGTAAGAGCTTGTTATTTACAAACCTTTGAAATGACCATAGAAATAATATTTTATTTTAATCGAATACATTGTACTGTCGTCTTTAAAAAAAGATTCTTTCTTGACATTGTTTTACATTTCTGTAGGAAAACAATTATATTAACAGTCAAATGGTGGTGGTAAAATGGTTCGATTTTTCGTAAATTCTGCAGCGCCTTCTGCAGAAAATTAATCATAATCAATAGCATAATACAATGCATATGTGGTGCGTCGGGTTGCGAACGCAACTTTGAAAGCAATGGGTTTCGGGTTCAAACCCCGTGTCATCTACTTCGATCTGCGCAACCGGGTAGTATTATAAAGCCTTTCACACAACAAGCATGGCTTATAGCCCCTAGTACATAAACAGATTGAGTTACGTCTAGACTACAAGTAATAATGAGAAGAGTAAAAGTCATTGCTATTCGAACATATGTATCTGGTTGAAAAATAAGCATAGTCTATGTGTATAACGACTTGAACTTTGTTTTCAACTGCATATATTCACCATTGTTTTATTATTGTCTCTCTGACAGATAACTTTGACAGTGCGTTGTTTTACTAAACTCGAGGGTTGAGTTGTTTTCGTGAAGTAAAACTATATCACTTTTTAGCGGTATCATTACTCACAAAACTTTAGAATCAAATCTTTTTCACTTACTATCCATTTAACGTGCGAAAATATTAATTATGATATTTTGTGCTTATTCACTGTTGGGAATGCATAAACAAGACTTTATTTCCCCTTCTCCCGAGTATGGCTAATGTTAGTTTTTAGTATTTACCACTGAGTGTTGTTTGTTTTGCCCAACATGCATGTACAAGTGTTCAAAAACAAATAGTATTGATCATGTATGTAGAAAGTATCCCGCGTAAACTCAACATAGTAGACAATGAAAGTATTTGCAAACTATCTGGATATTACATGGAGTTATTGTTCGTTCATAAGTAGAATGGGGATAAAAAAGATTTCAACTTTACAAAGTCAGTAGGCACTCAACAATATGACTTTAAAGTGGGTCTAGTTAAAAAGATAAGATTTATCAGATACAAAGATGATTCCAACTGCGTTTTATTATTATTATCATTATTATTATTATTATTATTATTATTATTATTATTATTATTATTATTATTATTATTGAGGGGACCGTTGTTCTGGATGAGAGTTCATTGCGAAGTGACATAATCATGAACTAATGAATATTTGTAGTGGTAGCAATTAATACTATCCCACTATAGTTTTATTCGTTCTAATCAACCATCGCTAACTATTGGTTATAATAACACTACAGTGAAAAGTGTATTTTGTTTTTATCAAATTTATCTTTCTTCACTCCAATAATATGCTCTATTTATGATATTTTATTGTGAATAACTGATTATTTCAAAGTTCAGTGCATAACAAAATGAAACAACAACAACAATAAAAGTATTTATATAAACAAACTTGAACAGTGCAAAAAGAGAAAAAAACAAGTGTATAGCAGTGAAATACGAGTTCATTTTTATCATTTCAAAGATTCTTCACAAACTGCTTTATAACCTAAATAATATTATAATGTATACATATTATAAGAATTGAATATATTTTAATCATATTGACAAAAAGTCAACTAGTAACACATGGATTACTGAATAGGGTAAAAAGTGGAGGAGATCGTTAGGAATTTCAGAGGAAGATCCACTATTTATAAGATTATTTACTGAATATTTTTGAAAGTGAAGGTTCAAAGGTGAATGAAAAAATAAATAAATAATCATAGATTGCATAACTTCAAAACTGTTCACAATCACTTCCATTATGAAAGTACTCTCTTCCTGTGTATAATATAATTATGTAATTGACACACTAATGTGACTCGTCTATAATTTATCTTTTATCAGATTGGAGTAATCGTCGTAATGGGTTCAGTTGGAAGCTTTACTTGAAAGAGACAAACTCAAAACCTGTACCTAAAGAGGCATTTGATGAGGTAATGTTAATCAATTCCACTATCCAGCATATTTTTTTACAACTCATATGTTTGACTAAATGTCAACCTCTAGAGTAGATCGAAAAAAAAAAGAAATGGATTCTGTAACCAACTTCATGTTCATGCAGTAGGCAATAAGCCACATTTAGTTGAAGAAGGCTGATGATACTCTCTTGTTATACTTACTCGTACATTGATCGACGAAGCCGAGATCAAATCCATCATACATCAATGGGAAGTCGAGTGCCTAGATCAATGAGTCACAGTTCCAACTCTAGATTGGCTAATTAAATTGTCTTCTGTGATGACAAACAAAGAGATGATACCATATGAATCGAACAACACTAGATTTCATAAAATCTACAGTTAGGTTTTTTTTTAGTTGTGCACTGGACTTAGTGAGTTTATCATAATTGAAATTAAACGGTGTCATTCGATGTCATACTGTGTTTGTATGTTTTGTGCCTTATTGTTATTTCTACAACTTGTAAGATTCGAAAACTAACAGTTAGACTACTTCGAACTTTATGAAATGCTAGGTGACAACCTATTAATATTCAGTAATTTTTCTAGAGCAAATAAGCTAGTATTCCACTGTCCACAGTTGTTAGGATGCTTCTATGTATCTGTTTTTGGAGGTTAGTCGAGCACAGAAAAGTAGAGCAGTTTATATTTGTGTTTTTTTTCCTAAACACTATTTGTTACTCATTAGCCTTAAAAAGTCGTCTTCCGTGTTCGTATAAGTTCTTTCTAAGTGTACTGCCTCTAAATAAAAATGTATACTACTACTTTCTTCGCTATCATTTGGCTTCATTATTTGCTTATAGATGATGAATCATAGTATATATCCTTGACTAAAATTTTGCGTAAATTTGCCGATTCACTTTCAGTTGTGCTTACAACATGTTCATCTTTATCTAGTGGCTCTAGTTGAATGTATCTGATGTCCCTGACTGTTGTTCTCAGCCGTGTTGGGAGATATAGACTAACTGACTGAGGTCCCCGAGACAATTGGAGTCAGGGTTGAAGAATCTTGGTGACATGGCTGAAGATCGATCACAATGACGCAGTTATATTCACTCGTTGATATCTTCTAAAGATTATTCTATAACAACTTTTTCCACATTGAAATGAGTCTTTATCTATCCACCTGTTCTTTGCGTACTACTGTGAAGTGGGGCAGGGTGAACCGATACACTTGTGCGCGAGATTCTGCATTGATTCTATCTGTCTATATCTGATGTCCTATTAAAGTACAATTCTTCTGCATTTTTTTTTAAATCAACTGGTCACTTTATGAAAACAGGAGGTAGAGCGATTGTTTGACTCTCATAAACAAATCTCTTATTCTTTCTTTTTTTACTATAAAGACTCCCTTTCAGACATTGACGGTAAGAGTTGAACTCTTTTCCCAAGTCATATGTTCTTGTAATCCTGTTATTATTAGCATAGATTCACCAATTTTTCCTATTTTGCTTTTTCATTTTTCCTTCTATCGCAAAGCTTACACTTAACTTTCGATCATAAAAAGACTGTGTTAAAACAAACTTTCATCGTTGTGACATACCAAACAACTTTTGGTGAGTTTTCATGTTTCACTGAAGAACTCCTTTAAGATTATTAAATCAAATGGATTTCCTTGAGAAATAACCTAATGCGCTTTAGGATATACATCTATAATAACTATCTCCTAGATACACCGTATATAGCACTGGTGAAAGAGAAGAAGCTTCTTGACAACGGAGTATAGTGACTGTGAATTTTATTCGGCAATGTCTTTTGTTGTAATAGCTGCATGTGTAATTGATTTTATCGCTAACTTTTTTCATTATCATTTTCTCACTTTAAAAGGAAGACTCTGTTTTCATTTCATGACACTGTTCATTCTCTTCTTACAGGCTAGAAAATTCTCCAAATCATCTCAACAGTTTCATATCAATCAACGTCTAGAGGCTGTGGATAAGCGTTGCCCATCATTGATCCGTGTTGCCAACGTTGTAGATAACACTCCTCCTGGCTTTTTAACTTTGGGATATGATGGCTGGCCTGATAAATACAACATACGCATTGAGGTTGGATCTCTTGATTTATTTCCTGTTGGCTACTGTCATGCTTCTGGGCATCCTTTACAAGTTCCGCCGGGATGTAAGTTAGCGTGTTTGTGGTGTATCGTAAACATCGCTTATCACACTTGATATGTTAACACCTAAATCTTTAGCTTATGTGACATGCGGTTAAACTTACTTTACCTTTTACAAAATAGCTGCAGGACAAGAATTGGATAATATTTTGTGGTGGACCAACTTTTCGTTAACTAACTTATGCTGTTCCGTCCTAGTGTGGGGCTTCTCAGCAGTGTGCACTCACGATCCAGCTAAGTATGGAACTCAGGACCTTCAGATTTCACGGTGAATGCGTTAACCGTCCAGCCACTGGGTTGGAACTCAACAGTTTGCAGCATCTTCCTTCTGTCAAAGCGTGACTATCCACCAAAGGCTTCAGTCGGCATTGGCTTCATTTCCGACTGGTTGACCCCACTGGTAATGGCTTCTCATTAGAACTTCACGGTATCCGCCTGGAAGCATGTCACTAATGAGGATTATACACCAAAATATTTTGAGGTTAATGAGGATCTTATTTATAATGTAATATTCATCATGGACTGACATCAGTTGGAGAACCACGGAAAACCCGGGTAGCACTGGATGACTATTTCGTCCTAGTATGGGATTCCTCAATATATATATACACTTTCTAGTAATTTTGTCTTGATTCAACTTTCTGATTCGTAAATTTTTCTGTTGATTGTTATTGTATTTGGCGACTGTTGTGCTTTAATGTGAGAGTAGTCGTTGTTCACCTGTTGTTCATCTCTCAGCTTAAAAGTAAAGTGCGAACATATTATATGTTCCTGATGGTAATAAACTATATTGTGAACATGATGGATAGTGGCTAGCAGTGGAATCTAGGATGTGCGTTTCATCTTATTTAGGACTCGTCAGCTGGATTTACCGATCTCCTAGTGAGTGATGTTCCCACCGGGATTCGAACACATCAGAGCCTTATCCACTAGACCCCTAAGTCAATCCGATCCAATACAAGTAATAATACTATAATGCGAACAGTCCACATGCTCGCAACTATCATATTTTGCTTCATCTTTCTTCCTATTACCAATAAAGTTACTGGAGCCTCGTGAATGAATATATTAAAGATGTGGATTCGTCGACCATTGATAAATATTACAGCTTTCAAACTCAAAATCCTCTGCCAAGTAAAAAAAAACGTATAATCGTTAATCTCTAAAATGTTTCTCAGTATCTGTCAATGCAAGTTGCATCTCTAAAACTTGGTGTTAGAGAAATTATTTTATTCATACTTTCAACTTCTTAAGTGTATCCAAGTTATTTTTCTTTTCACACTAAAAAACATCAAGTGTATTCATAATTTATATCACCCGTATGTCACAGAAGCAGGTGCAACGTTTAGTGATTCAGATTACTTTCAACGTGTACCTTTGCACGTATTTGATTGATATATACACGAACCCATTGAAGGGATTGAATGGGATCTGTGACACAAATACAACTCAAACTCCCTAGTTAGGCAAATCCATCTACTGAGAAATTCTTCGTGTATTTCTTCTGAATATTGAGCTCGGTAATGGACAATAGTAATCTATTTCTTTGTGCAACTCATCTATGCTCATCAGCATTGACTCAAATTACGAAATAAAACAATATCGAGTCTAAAGACCTTCATTATCAATCCACTTATGAACACAAATCATAATTCATCGAGAATTATCACCTATATTAAATAAATAGACAGGAATCAGAAGCAGATAAAGGTTAATTGTATTCCACTTGATGGTTTTACTTTCAAGAAATTAACTGAATAACTAACATTTTCTATTCAATACCACTTTTTTTTAAAAATTACTCCACAATTCATTCAAGCTAATGTGTAAAAACCGATACAAACAATTAATGATCTACAATCATAGAGACTATGAAGTCATTGTATCTTCTGATCTTCATCCAAAAATGCTCTATGCAAGTGGTATGTAAAAAAATTTACTAAACCTCAGCAGTGGTTGCGATTGCCGTGTTGAATTTTCGTAGGACTAACCTGAAAAGATGAATATTACCGAATTCACCTACTGAGTGGGGTAGATTAAGTGGTTATAATAAAATTGGGTCGCTTGAATAAAAGATGCATTAATTTAAAGCAAAATTTAGTTGATCAATTAATGACCCTTCCTGTCCAGCTTATCATTTAGTGTAAAAAGGTTGATATTGAGGGTTTTCATCAAGTAATCCATCTTATCAAACTTTTCACTTTCCCATAGTTATAAAGTCTTGCTGAATTTTACATTATTGGTCACTAGTGGGCAACCAATTTCATGTTATCTAGTTCTGACTGCTGACCGGATTCTATCGATCAATCTAAGAGTCTTAGCATCACAGTGCACTTGGATAGATATTAGTTGATTGGAGGCAACCGGTAGGAAGCCTTGGACCTAACTTTGAATGATCCATATTCTCATTCAAGAGTATCCCATAACACTTTTTAGAAGTATTGTAGTTAGTTATGTAGTTTTAAAATATCTATGAAATGTTTATCTAAACCTTCAGGAATTGGTTAAAGTTAGAAGGAAAGTGGGATTTGTGTCAGAATATTCACCTAAACTGTTCTATGCCTGCCCATCGCGCTTTATCCTCATATGGTTTGCATTAGATATAATATTATGCATCAATTTGACTAAGCTTCCTTTTTATCTCACTAAATTAACTTCAAATCTTTCATTCGGTACATACTATTAGGTGGTGATATTATAACTAAGTATCCTTTCAGAATTTTTTTGGTAAATACTTTAAAGAATTATAAAATTGGAACTTTTAGCCTAATATATCACGGTATATAAAACTTTCCAAATACTTTAAGAGCCACATTTATTAACCAATCAAGGTAAATTGTATATCTCCTACAAAAGAGTGAACAAATTATTAAACATATCGATTGTTAAAATTTTTATTTTCCGTTAGTTTTTTATCTCATTTTTAATTGGTTGATATTAACCAGCTGCTTTTTATCGTTATTTTCTCTCTTGTAAAATGTTTATCGTTTGATTCGTTAATCACAGAATAGAAACGCTATAACTGCTTTATTTATTTGTTACCAGTTCATAACTGCCTGTTGCGAAAGGCAGTTTAAAATTTATATCTTACTTTTTCACACCATAAATCAAAGCTTTTCTTTGCTAATACCAGATACTATGTCTTTCCATTCGAATATGTTAAATGGTTTTAGGTATTTAAGTAAACCAACTATAGTTGTTAGTGGTTAATAGATTTCATTCTGACTTCTACCCATATCAATGATACATTTCCATTCTCATCATTCTGAATGTTCATTCTACTGGGTAGTGATGAAACTGGCTTTTTACAAGCAGCGATTCTTAAGGGTTTCTGATCATTCATACAAGTTAATAACTGTCATTAATTAATTTCTAATAATTAACTTTACTGATCAGTCTTTAAGAAATAAATACACTCCTTTCAAGATATTAGAACCCATTTCCTTTAAATCCACTTTTTGTAAAAGTGAATTAGAGCTAACCAATAAGAGCCATGTGTCCAGCTTTTAAAAGATAGTTACAATAAAGAAAACTATTGTCAGGTGTTCTTTCTGATTTCATTTTCGTTTTTTTCTCTCCTCACTAGCATTTATAGGAAAAAACAGGTTAAAACTGTTGCTTTCTTTGACTACTACCAGATCAATTACCTTAGATGTGCGATCAACACATTTATCCCTTCCAAGCTTCGTATTGTTTACATGTCTAATGATCAGTCTGTATTTTGCTGTAGGAAATTCGATGCAGTTAATTGAAGGAATAAGCAGTAGAAGTGATACAGGACTTAACCATTACTATAAATGTATTTATTTTTAGTCAATGTATGGATGCTTTTCATATCTGTGCAAACTTCGTTGAGTTTTACTTGAGATTCGAAAACCGTTTGAATGAACAAAGGATTATTCTCTTCGAAAGGTTCTTCAGATTTTACAGTTATACGTATACATTGAGGAATTATGCCTCAACAATATTAAAGTTTCGCTTTACGGTTTATTAGTAAGATTACATAGTTGGGGGAAATCACTTCAGAAAATTCTTGTGTAAACGTTGATAATAGAAGTAATTATCACTGGGATTATAGAGTTAAAGGGGTATCTACGGTATGGAATTAGAAAATTAGATTACCTTGGGTAAGATGCTAAGGAATTTATGCTTCTCGAATCGAATCAAAGTTTTTGTTATGGCAACACCTGCTTTTTTGAACACAATTCAGGTTGTTTTATTCCAGTTGCTACTGCTTCGGCAGTCTGAAAGATTGGAAGTTGGATACCTTTAGGCAACTTGATGGGAACCCGGTACATGATGAAAAACGACTTATTCATATCTACCTTATAACTCGTCTCAACCAAGTGACCTAGTATGGTGCTAGTAAATAGTCTTTACCACACCTTTACTTAACCACACTGGGAGATGTTCACGAGCATGGAAAATTAAATTCTTAGAGCAACAGCCGACGTATCTTGCCCCACAAAAGCAATCGAACTGATAAACATAACAGGAAGTGACCACTCTAAGCAATTCATCTTTGAGTCTTGATGTCATGTCGATGTGGAAAAAGTAATTTGCAACTTACCAGCATCAAGGATTCTCTGAATTGATCTGCGTAGTTTGTGAGTTAATATCTTACTAAGCACGCCACTTCTGTGTTGTGGTTTCCTGCTAACCGTTAGAATATCATTTCTTATCATTTTTGTATTCCTATGTTTCTTTATGAATTTATCAGAATAGCCATTTTCGACTAGTGTGTTGCTCAAAGTCGTCAGTTCTTCTTCAACTGTAATATCATCCAAACATATAACCGTTATTCTGTAACTTGGAGTTTTTATTAAATTTCATTTTTACTGAAGTGAAACGAAACTGAGAAAACGTGTGTATACTCTTTGTTCACTGAAATAGCTTTTGAATTAAAATGAGAATTTTTAATTATTTGAAATTACCTAATGAATTATTGTTGGGTGGAATGACAAGGCATCATGTCTGTAAAATAAATTCTACACACTGCTCACTATCCATTGTCCTCTTTGATTGCATCACACGATATTCCCGATTATTGGTTTTCAAAACTGTCGAGTTGCTTGTTTCCAATGTTACTACATCAAATCTGTTTGGTTAGTCATATTTATATAGTTTGTATATTTAAGGATTACCCAATGTAATCACCCGACCATTTTTATCCTTACTATTCCTTTCCATTTTCTGTTTTAGATGATTCTGAATTAGATTTAAACGGAAATTTAATGGATTCCTATTCTAACTCGTCTACTAGCTCTGTCAGCTGTGGTGGGACTGCCAATCCATTCGGCGGTTGCCCAACTCCTGGTTGCAAAGGGTATGGACATATCAAAGGACCTCGTTATTTTTCTCATCAACGTATCTCAGGTTGTCCATATGCTGATGGCAATCTCAAAAAGATTCTATTAGGGCACATGACGTCTAAGTTCTACCAATATACTAACATCCAGTTCTCCTTTTTCTGTTGATTCTGAAAATCCTGATTCTAGTGCAACTGCAACATCAACCTCTGTCTATAATCCTTTAAATCGTAGCTCAGGTCAACGTCTTTCTCCAGATTCTACAGTGAAAAGCGAATACTCGTCGTCAAATAGTACTTCAACTATGGTTACATCGTATTCCCTCGTCACATGTCCGTGTTTAGATACCAATTTTTTCAACTTCAATATCATACAGTCCTGGTACATTACAGTTATCTCTTGTTAACAACAGTACCACAACCTCACCTGGTTTTCCAGCTGTGATAAACAATCCTCATCCAACCAATAGTCCTGCGGCTTCTGTTCAAAATCCTCTTTCAGACGATCTACCCCAACTTAATGCCTTACCTTTAAACTTAACAATTGATAAGGTATCTGATTTTTCAGTCAATGAAGTAGATATGAGAACGGAGCTATCGAACTCTTATTCTCCTTCACTCACTTATGGGTAAGATCATTCTTTCAACTGTCTGCCAGTTAACAAGTAGTTTTCGCGTCTATCTTATCGCATATGTGTATACTTAATGTTCACTTCATAGTGAACTAGCCAAAAAATTATGTATAGTGTTAATTTCTGTTTTGTCTAATAATACTATTTTATGTGAATCCTGGTCAATATTTGACCGGATAGTTTCACAAATATTGGGCACTGACTAAAAAGTTGACATTGGATATAAGTTATATTTGGACAAATCTCAGCGTGTTTGAAATAAGAAATTCCAACATTTTGTGCGGAAGTCTGGTCTGTGCTTCTCCAGGAAAACAGTCGAAATCTACATCACGACAGATATATACAACAGGTCAAAAAGCGTATATATATATATATATATATATATATATATAGTCTAATAAAATAGTAAACACATTCTGGCTATTAACACTAGTAATAACAGTTTCGATTGTTGGATTTCTTTGAGCCTGTTCCTTAAATCACTCTGAAATAGAATCCACATGACAATGAAAGCTTAAGAAAGTAGCCTAAATGAATATGAGACTTCTAAATTGTATTCAGGGAAGCGTGTATACACATGGTGGAAGAGTTAACGGGTAGGTTCTCTTTTGCCATCGCTTAGCCATATATATATTCCAAGGATTGTACAACTCACAATTTTTCATCATTACAATGTCCAATCCTCTTGTCTTGTCAAGTCAATGAGCGAATAAAATGGTTTTCAGAATATATATCAGATTTCCCATACTTCATTACCTTGTCTTCAGCGCCCCATATGGAGTAAAACAAGCGTAGGGTACACGCGTTTAACCATGCATGAAATGATGCGTTTTTTTTTATCTGGGATCCCTTGAAATGTTAAAAATCGACTATTTGATTACAAGCAGTTATGATAGCGCAGACGATATTCTAACTCTTGATCGTCTTATGGTTGACTCCTCACCTATTTTTCCCTTGCACTGTGTTGTGCGGAAGTTCTGTGTTATTTTTTTGTCTGTCTGAAATAGGATGATGAAGCGGAATGATGTTGCTAAGTGAATATATTTCAGTTGAATTGTGTTCACCTTCATGACGTTTTTTAATTGCTGGTGCATAAATCACAATTACTATTTATCCTCCTATTTTACTGCATGAATGGATGAGAAGTAATAAGAACACCGTATTATTTGCTATTCAGGGATGCCAAACAACATCGAGTTTGTCTACTTCATGTACTTTTTCTGAATAAAACGCAGTTTTTCTTCATTAAGAAAGGTATTTGATTCTACTACCCTGTTTTCTTCATCTTATACGCTATAAACAGATTAGTGAATGTGTTCAACTGTCGTGCACTTCATAGATCTTCGGGTGATAGCTTTCCTAGCCGTCACTATAACCAATGCATCAAATCACCACTTTCTAAAGCATTAAATATTTCTTATGATTTTGCTTTTACATAATTTGATTGTAATAGATAGATGGACAGACAAAACCAATGTGGAACCTCTCACAAAGTTGCATTGACTCGACTTGCCACACTTCTCAGTAATACACAAAGAACAGGTGGATAGAAAATGACTCATTTCAAAGTAGAAAAAGTTATATGAGAGAATAAACAATTTTTGAAGATAACAGTTAGTGCAAACATTCAAGCTTTAGAAAACGTCAAACAGTGAATACATATACGCCATTGTGACCGGTTTCCAGTCATGTCAACGATTGTCCACAACCACGGAATCCTATCGTCTCGAGGACTCTAACCAGGTAGTCTACACCTCCATACATGGGTCAGATCAACAGTCAGAGACTTCTTAGACTAGTGCCACATTTTAGTCTGACCACCCTGAACCCTCTTCAAAACTAGTGTTGCTTCTCGTTGAGGTAGGGAGGGGGTGTATCGGTGTGCGCAGCACATACTCAGTGTAGTATACCCGTCTTTTAATAGGTAGTCAAATATCTCGCCAGTCGGTGCCAGAGATGACGCAAGTTGGCAAATGCTGAACTGGCGTTCTTTATCTGAGAGCTGAGATTTCATCAGCATCCGGCCTATTCAGGCTGATACAGTTCCCCAAATAAGTGAAGTGGTCGATACATTTCACCGCTTCACTTCACTCCTTATCCTTTGATTGTAACACCACAGGGGTGGAGAATAAAGTACACCTGAATAGCTGTAAGAAATTCGCTATCGTAAACGAGGTTGTATTATTCATATCAGTAACAAGCTTTTAACCTAGTGAAGGGATCTTAGCGGTTTCTTTTACTGATTCTCAGTCTGATTCCAGACTTTTAGTCTTTATTAGTAATTTTTCATGTTCTACAGATTATTCCACCACTTATCTGTTTCTCCCCAACATGTATGTGTGTTACATAAGTCTATCTAATTCATCGTAGTAAATAACGTTCAACTGAACTGTTTGTTTATTTACTACACATAAAAATCTGTATACAGATGGAGCTGTTTCAAGCGGAGAAATGTATGCAGGGAAAACTAGTTTACATACTTATCCTTCCTTGATCATCTACTATCTTGGATATTGTTTAGTTTAGTTTCAAACTGACTCAGCGAGATAAGCTTTTTTGAATTTTGACTACCGCTTTCATCTAATATTCACTAGTTATCTCTACGTTTGTTGTGAAGATTGACACTTTTATGTAGTTAAATGAAGTAGCGTAAAAATTCTGTCTTATAGCAGTTGAAGCAATGACAGGACGAACGGACTAGGTAACTGCTCAATATGTATTTAATTCCACGTACAAAATATTGTGTCAAACGGTTTGGTGGATGCAACTTTACGAATGATATATATCTCCTCAATCCCTTTCGCCTTCTCACTGTGATCATGGAAGTATTTCACAATCTTACTAATCATTCAGAAAAAAAACCGTATCATAAAAATAACAAGGGGACTAAAAGTTGCATTTTTCTCAGCACTGAGAATAATGTAGACTAACAATCACGTAGTATTTTCCAGTCACAACTCATTTTTCTGAATCGCCTACTTAAAAAAGCATTGGCTATTGTTCCTTCAGTCAGTTTTTCTGGTACAAATATCCCTTATCCGGTTACATATCACCTTTTATTTTATGCTTAATGTATAGCTGAATTGACTGCGTAGTGGAGAGATTCATATACGTTCCTTATTCTTCCCATCCTTGCTACTTGAACCTAGGAAAAATTGATGGTTCACAATTTGGATTACTGGAAATTAACTCAAAGTATACTAACAGAGTTTTCATGCTATTCACCTTTTCCGTAAAAAAGGGAAAGTGAACACCCACTATCACCATTGCTGTTCAACTTCGTTATAGACGTACTAGTGGACATAACCTCAAGTGTCTCTACCTCCACAGGGAGTGGTCTACTCTCTGGACGTCATCTGGTTCAGTTAAAGTATGCAGACCATATTATCCTGCCAGTTGAAGACGCTGACAAAATACAGGGTCTTCTGTATGTGTTGAGAAATCTGAGTATTTTTGGCATGCGTTTCGCTGGCACTTGTCAAATGTAAGATGATGCTCCACGATTGGTCTGCAACTACTCCCAGTTTAGTGATAGGGATTGGAGTGTGTCGACCACTTCATTTACTTGGAGAGTTGCATCAACCTGAACGGGTTGGTTGCTTACAAAATCTCAGCCCAGATACAGAAGCCTGGTTTGGTTATGCATCAACTTCCCTCATCTCTGGCGAAATATTCTAATAACTATTCAAGGACGAGTATAGTGTGCTACAGTTCGTTTTGTCTTGTTATACAACTGTGAGACATACCCGTTAGAAGTAGGAGACATCAAGCCGTTGCAAGTTTTCGATCACTTGTGTTTTCATAGCATTGCTCGCGTTTGGTGGAATCATTTTGTGAGCAATGTTTAGGTTAGACGAAGGGTTCTAAGCCAGATGGACAAGTTGATTGGTGAGGTTGAGAACCTTAGTCAATCGAGATGGCTTGGGCATGTACATGTATTGCACATGCCGGTTCACCCTCTCCCTACCTCGACGTCCTATGCTACAAGAAGCAGCACTAGTTTGGAAAAGGGTCCAGGGCGGCCATACTAACATGTGACATCAGTTTAAAAAGTCTCTGACTGTTGGTCTGACCCATGTATGAAGGTGTAGACTACCTTGTTAGAGTCCTCGAGACGAAAGGAATCGGTGGTCAAGAAGTCTCGGTGACATTGCTGAAAATCGGTCACAATAGAGCAGATGTTATTCACCGATGATGTCTTCTGAAGTTTGAAAAACCTTGATCATCAAATGATTTATTCTCTTACATAACTTTGTATAATTCTGTGAAGTGTGGCAAGTTGGACCGACGCACTTGTATCCGATGTTCTACGTTGATTCTGTCCGATTTTTTCTAGTTAGTTTGTCTGAGGGAAATTGCTTATCATTTGTCTCATTACTGAGTAGTCACGTTTCAATAAAGGCAGCTGTGTTGTTCACAGTTATGAATTCACCTATCCTCTCAGCAGCTCAACTTTAATTTTCGCGTTGGAAGGTAGCATGCCAAATTATTAGCACTTTTTGTCTACTGTATAGCACGTTGGTAATTTTCAGACTAAATTGAATAAGCAATTCAGTTATTTAGTTCTTAAAAATTCTAGTTTATCTATGTTGTAGAATGATGTGTTCATATCTAGAATCGTAGAATTTACTGATTTCTAGTTAATTTTTTCGAACACTTTTCTGCTATCGCAGGATTGTGTCGGTGCATAACTGACAATATAAATGAAAGGAGTACAAAGAAACAAATTGTACACCTTATTTCACCTTTTTTGGCGCTTATTTCCTTGTGATCGTTTCCTCGGTATACTTAGATTTTTTTTTGCCAAACAACGCTCTGTAAACGTAATATTTGACGCTTTAGTACAAATTTTCCAAGTAATACAATCTGCTGTTTTAATTGACATGCGTTTGAGAATTTTTATTTTACTTTTTTACATATCAATGGTAAGTGTTGGCTCCATATCTCAGTGCGAAAACTCAAATCCCTCTGAAATCCCAGACAATATGAAGGTTTTAACAAATGAGCCTTTGACGACTACTGTCACAAAATCAAATGTAGAAGTGAACGACTCAATTAGGCCACAAAAGTTGAGCAAAATGGAATCTAATCTTGTTGAAAACATATCTCCTCCTAATTTATTACCTCAAACTGTGGATCCATCTGATGAATACATTAAAAGTGTCGGTGTATCTCCTATTCCCATTAAACGTAAACGTGGTCGACCAAGAAAATATACTTCTGTACATGTTCTACATCCCACCTTACAGCAATCACGTCCTATTCACCTCACTTCTTTAGCATCTCTACCACATTCATACACTGCATCTGCTGGACGGCATTCATATCCAGCTGGTGTTTCAAGTCAACATCACACTTATTCGTCTTCTGCAATTCCCATTTCTACAGTATCTATTACATCCACATTATCTCTTTGTAGCAATATTAGTATGACCGTCAATCCTCATTCATCGATAGACTGTCAAGGTGATAACTTTCTTGGTCATAACATGGATTTTAATAATGCTAAGAATATTGATTTGTTTAAGTCTGCTGCATGCAGCTCAGAGCCAAGCCCTGCTGACAGCGTTCTAACTAATGCATGTATCAATTCTAATATGAACTTTATGGATGTAGACCGGTTGAGACCACCTGGTTATGAAATTCCTGGGCAACCTACCCCTTCTTTTGGTCCATTGAGTGATCCGGTTGTTGGTTATCCGATTAATGCTAAGTTAACTCAGGAAATGACTCCTGTTGATCTGTGCTCTAATCGTACTCCTCGTATAACGGTTATGAATCCCTCAGGTATAACAGGCAATTCTAGCAACAGTCTTCTTCCTCCTCAGTCTATGGTAGAAACGCCAAGTACTGGATGGTGTCCTGATGCAACTAATGGATCATTCATACCTCCTTTATATCATAATCCAATTCTATCTTCTCCATTCTGTATCGATCCAAGTAGACCACCGTGTTTGTTACCATCCTTCGAAATGCCATCTTCATCCTCAAATTATATGAATGCTTCAATCAGTAGTTTAAATAATCCTACATTGAGAGACGTTGATTTAATGGGTCGGTTGTTACCGCAAGCAGGTGCAGCTATTCGTGCTGCTAAAGTTGCTGGCCTTCCTGGACCTCATTCTTGGAATCCAAATGTTGTAGCTAATTTCATATCTACATTACCAGGATGCAAACAATTCGCTTGCAAATTCATTGAAAATGTAAGTCTAGTCTATTTCATTTTTGTTGGTTACTTTTCATTTATCTACTCCTATAACCATCATTCTATAATGCTCTTCATGAAGTCACAATTCTGTAGTTATGCCACAAAAGACTCTTAGCACATTTTGCGGTATACATTTCAACTCAAGAAGGGGAACTTTCAAGAATTTCAACCTTATCCTGGAGATTTGAGTAACCCCACTGCTTTTTGTTTTTCCGGATACTGACATAGGTGCTGCTTTATTGTGATCTGAATGAAAAAAAATGACTATTTGTTTCTACTTGTCGTAGTACTACCACAGGTGTATCGGCTCGACTTGCCACACTTCACAGTTGTACACAAAGAACAGGTGGATAAAAAAAGAGTGATATCAAAGAAGATGGAGTAATGTGAGAGAATAAACAATTTAAAGATAATGGTTAGTGCGAATATTCAAGCTTTGGAAAATGTCAGAGAGTGAATACATCTGCATCACTGTGACCGATTTTCAGGCATGTCACCAGGATTCTTTGACCACTGATTGCTTTCATCTCAGGACCTCCAACTAGGTAGTCTACACTTCCACACACGAGTCAGATCAATAGTCAGAGACTTCTTAATCTGGTCACCCTGAACCCTCTTCAAAACTAATACAGCTTCCCGTAGCATAGGACGTCGAGTTAGGGTGTAAATCGGTATACGCAGTCGACTAAGGTTCACAACCTCACCAATTGATTTGCGTGTTGTCTCGCTTTTTACCCTTCAGTTGACGTCAATATTGTTCACATACGAGTAATTTCATCATACGTGAGCAATGCTACGAAGACATTTGATCGAAACCCTGTAATCGCTTCATGTCGACTAGCACACCAGTTTTAGATGTCATATGTTAAAAGGGGGAAGTGAATTTAGATTGGTATTGAGCATAAAAATTATTACCAGTGAACTAGAAACGGAAGTAAGATGATGAACTTCTGGTCAGTGCTCATAACAAAATGTGAAGTGAACAGTATTTTTGCTAGTCATCTTGATTTTAACCCATATCAACAGGTTCACTAGTATAACATCTACAGTGTCGTCATGACCAGTAATATTATCAGTGTTGCTTTCTGTTTTTCAGCTTCACTTCTCATCCAATGCTTTCTGAAGCTACTGGCAATCAAAAACTCTTTACGAGGTCAACTATTATTCATAGTTACGTGGAATGTTTGTAAATTATCCGTTTTAGCACCACCTTCTAGGGTTGTATTATAACTGTCACGTAACAACTATGTTCCATTGATGGCTAGTACTCAAAAGTGTAGAAAATTGTTGACTCGTCTTTTTCTCATTAAAGAGTTTTCTCGTCGTGTATCTTTAGACTTATTGACTCATATCCTCCTAAGTTTATGTATACACCCTGTTTTTCCGTGATTTCTTTCATTTTAAATAGCTAATTGATTGAAATTCATCACAGGATTTAGTAGTTAATCCCTGTATCGTTTCCTAATATAGCGTTTATGTAAAGCTAACTAGATATAGTTAACGAAAAGTCTAGGATTTTCTAAATCGACCCTTGTATTCATGAAATTATTTTCTACCAAACTCTGCTAACAAATATTCTGGGGTGATAGATTGCTTCCATGGAGTGAGGACATCCCGTAGCTTGCTGAAAGTCAATAAAACAGTTAAACTACTTGTGTTGTTAAACTCATAATCTCACACTTAATTTGTTTTCCTAAAATAGGGTGTTTCCCATAAACAGAGAGAAGGGAATTTCAAATCAGGCCTAAAACAAACACATCTTTGTTTTACGTTTAACATTTGTTGTTTTAATTTAAATGTTGTGCAAAAAAATCTTCCAGCTTATCACTTAGTGCTATAATTTGCAGTAGAAAAACGGATTGTTAACTCTTTAAGATCAAAATTCAACTTGATAGAATTGAATACATACAGTATATATATTATGTAAATAGTTTATAAATGAAATATATTTATGCGAAATCCCAAGGAGGTGTAGAAGAATAGTGAATTTCTGACGTTTCGCAATCTCAGGTTGTCATTTCTTCACAGAATAAAATCTATACGAGTTGATCACATGTTTAAATAGTGAGTGGAAATAAATTAGATCACGCTGTTCATACATGCTTACATAAAAATGATAAGACAGGATTAAATATTATCGTTATAAGTTATTATTCCTTGAGTGTGACTAGATATGTATCTGTTACACGAATGAGAAATCTATTCATCAAAGCCGTGGGAACAACATCATTCACTCGGATGTACATACACATCCGGCTGACGAGTCCCAAATAGGACGAAACGCGCCTCCTGGATTCTACCGCTAGCCACTAAGCAAACATCAGCATGAATGAGAAATTCAATTTATTTGTCCATTACTACTTTATTTATCACTAATATGTGCAACGTGTTATTTCGGATATACTATTGTTATACAAGTTGGTTGTATAGTTGGACATTCTGTTCCGTTGAGTACTTTAAGATTCGACCCTATATGAAACGCCCCAGCTATCCGTGTTTTCTCGTAGTTTGAAAAAAAATACCTTTTGAATAATTTTGGTATCTGGAATATCGATTTCGTGGCTACAGATTTAATTTATAATAACTCCAGTTCCATAGGATTACTTTATGGTTATTTTGCAGGATGAATCGCCAATGTAATAGGCATCAGAACCAACACATTGTAACCTTTACATGCAGTTCTATATGGTGAAAAAGTGTCTTTTATACAAACTAGAGCATTGTTGAAAGTGTTGGTTGTTTGGTAGAGGGTTCTGATTCGGTGTCTTTGTGAAATCCATTGTGATTCTTCAGTCTATCATACCATGGTGGTAGGAAAGAACTACTCTGATCTTGAGATTACTGAAATCTGTTTACTTTTTGACTTTTATTTAAGTTGTTAATTTTGCGTGTCGGTGGTGTAACAGTTACGGCCGACAAGTAATTATTTCAGGCCACATATGTTGATGTTGACCCGTCATATTATGCTTCAAGAAGTAATGCCTGAATATTTACATGGTCCTCATGATGAATGGCAAAAGCAAATGATTTTGAAGTATTCCATATAAAATATATGCATTCTTCAGTCTAACTATATTTTCTCTTTTCTGCTTATAACCTTATCAGCTTGTTTTACAAAAGTATCAAGTATAGCCTTTGTGAAAGCTAAGTTTTGTTCTATCTCATAACTATCGCAAACTCTCTTCTGAAAACTTTTTATTTTTCTCTATGTTTACAAATCGAAATAGAGTTCTTCATGGTTAACTTTCATTATTGGAATAACGTCCATGTTTTATGGCATATATGTTTGCTGAGTAATTTGGTTTAGGATAAATGTGTGATGACTAACAGATTAATTAACTGGCATTAAAAGAGTAATTGGCTAAGGTTTTCTGACTGCATATGATGGTTGTGTTGTGCAGTCAGTGTATCCACGTACTTTCTGAGTTGTATTCCTTTTATCGACTAGTTTTCTTTTCTGATCCCCAGCCTTGGAATAAGATATTATTACTATCCAGAACAGTTAGTGAAAACATGAATCAACAATTTAAGTGGGCATGAGAGGCTGTTTTCTTGATTACTGTGACAAGGACTTGTTCGGAAAAAAAACTACAATGAAATATTCTCTCATTCATTTGCCGTTACGGATAGCTATATCCCTTATATTCCATACTTATCATTTGTATATTTTGAACTGTTGTTCTTCGCGTTCTTTTCCCCACACGTGAGTCACATTTCATATAACCCGCTAGCGTTCTGATTGGTTCCTGCCTCTTTAAATGTGCTAGTTATTTGTCTTTCAAGGTTATTGTAAACTTGATAAATAAGGTTCGGTTTTGTAAAGATGGATAGTGGCTTGCAGTGGAATCTAGGATGCACATTTCGTCCTGTGTGGGGGCTCGTCAGCTGGATATACCTGCCTCCCAGTGAGTGATGTTGTTCTCACCATCCATCTTTAGTATAACTAGAACACAGGTATATCGAGGTATCCGCACAGGATCCCATATGCCAATAGAAACCGATCAATTCGGTCCAATCAACAAGCAATAACACTAAGGTTCGTTTTTATTTATAAACGTTTTCAGTTTGAGACACTATAAACTCATTCGATTGCCAATCTTCTAATTTGCCTCTGCGAATCACTCGGGCTCCATTGTGTCCATCCTTGACTCTCACTCGTTAATTATTATAGTTCGTTCTCACAACTTCGCATGGTAACATCTACAAACCTTTAATATTGTGTATGATGCTTCATATATTTTGTATGCGGAACAGTAATCAAGTGTAAAAGCTTTTATATATTGACATTTCTGCATTAGATCATATCCTCGTTGCATCCATTATAAAACTATATGAATCGTTTTTACAGAACACAGAATCTCTTTCTATTGTTCACTGTGCTGATGTTAGACGTCATTCTCTGGACTGCTTGTTTCACTTTTCTTATTTAGAAACACAGCGCCCAGTGAGTTACAAGTGTTTTCCTGCGCTTGGAGTGCCAAACAGTCGCATTTTATGAAAGATTTATCATTTCGTTTTATCCCTCTCGTAAACACTTCGTTTTGCTGTTCTAGTATGCGCAGTAACCAGTAGTCAAAATAGCACGCACGAATTTCCCTTCATGGATGCCAAAAGAACAAAAACGGTAATTGGAGAAGGATAACACAAATCCATTTTATTTCGACGGTATCCTGTCAACTGCTTAAAACATAGAATATCAAATCATGGTTCTTTTATCGACAATTTAACATACCCAGTGGTCGCTGGTTCGACTTCAACTGCGGTCCAAATTTCCATTTCATCTTCAATCATCCATCACCTAGTATCAATACAGGTCTGCTAAACTAGACTATTTCAGATAGTCAAAATGATAATTTAATAAACTTTAATCCACTAGAGGAAAACAGAATGTAGGTCAGTGGTTAAGATGAATAGAATTAGTCACAGTGTAGTAGTGGTAAAACGTAACGGTATGTCTAAGGAAGGTTAATACAAATAGTAACAAATTGTCACAAA